AAAAGAAATTTGCTGGAAAATGCTGAGCTAGGTAAAAAATATGTGGCTGAAAGACAGGTAAGGTTTTACAAGAAAAACAGTTGTAATAATCTAGTTTATATATGCACTACATGCCCATCTGCTGGAACAGTTCCATATATCGTCATTTATTGATAAATACAATACATTTTAGCACTTGTTTTGGTGTCATATAATCATGGTCACATCTTTTTCCCGCTAAAAAATATATGCTCACTACGATCAATTGCCTGACTTTCTACCTTCATTCCTTACCAGCAAATGCTTTTCCCTTCTGGTTACATCTTAATTGATCATGCATTTAAATTGGGTAAGACATATTCTCTGATGGGATTTTAGTAAATTACTGAGCATTTGTTTCGCTTGGAATTGTGTCAGGTTTTTCTAGAAATTCACACAAGTAAGATGCTCTGAGGCACTACTGTAAGAAACAGTGCTTCCGTTTGCGTCAATTATGTGGATGAGAAGCCTTATTGGTCCTATTCATTTTCCTTTTCTCTTTTGATAAAAACATTAGTCTTTTTAATCCAATACAAAAAGCATTTAATGTCTTGTGAAATTCTGTAAATATCACGTTTGCTTTTTGAAAAAAACTGCTTGATAGTTTTAGAATTGAGGCTACTACTCTGCCAGTTCATTTGATACATGCAAGTCTTAATGTCTAAATATGCCTCATTTTTTTTATACTTCTCAAGGGCATTATTTTTCATTTACGTGAAAGTTTCAGATTTTTTGCATCTTACAAAAACTGCTGTTTTCTTTGCTGGAAGTTCGTCATTTATGTCTTGGAAATGTTAATTGTAGGAACGTATCCTTCTGTATCGGGATAGGGTGGACTCAAAGACTTGGTATAATGAAGAACGGAATAGGTGGGAGATGGACCCAATAGCTGTTCCTTATGCTGTGTCCAAGAAAATGTTGCAGAGTGCTCTAATCAGGCATGATTGGGCTGCCATGTATATCACACTCAAGGGAATTGACAAGGAGTATTACGTAGATGTTAAAGTAGGGTGCTATTTGCACAGTTTCTCTTTCATTTCAAATTTGCAAATTTGTTTTTGAGGCTTTTGATGTTATTAATCTCATCTCAGGAATATGACATGCTGTTTGAAGATTTTGGTGGTTTTGATGGTTTGTATTTGAGAATGATTGCAGCTGGCATCCCTACTGCTGTTCAGCTTATGTGGATTCCTTTTTCAGAGTTGGACTTGCGTCAACAGTTTCTCTTAATAATGAGGATATCCTATCAGTGCCTTAATGGATTTTGGAATAGTCGCATTGTTTCACATGCAAAAGAGTGGACTTTCAAAAAAATAAAAAACATTAATGATGACATAATGATGATGATCGTTTTCCCTGTTGTGGAGTTCATTATCCCTTATCAGGTATTGATTGAGTAGCTGTTTATGATAACTCAAGCATCATATTCTGATAACCATCTCTTTGTGCAGTCTTATCATTATCTCTTACAGATATTACTTTTTGCTGTGGGATCCTTGATTTAATACTTTTTGGACAATCATCTTGATTTTTGCTACAGGTGAGGATGCGGTTGGGTATGGCTTGGCCAGAGTATTCAGATATATCTGTTGGCTCAACTTGGTACTTGAAGTGGCAATCTGAGGCTGAAACGAACTTTAAATCGAGAAAAACAGATGAATTTCAGTGGTACTTTTGGTTTTTAGTTAGAACTATCATATATGGATACATATTGTTTAATGTGTTCCGATATATGAAGAGGAAAATTCCTAGCATTCTTGGCTATGGCCCTTTGCGGAGAGATCCCAACTTAAGGAAGTTACGGAGAGTGGTATGATTTTACCCTTGCTACTGAATTTTTCAATACAAATTGTTTTATGCATATGTGGATGGTGATTGAAGTTATTACTATTTCTCTGACACACTCAACTCGTTCTAGCCTTACCCTTTCCTAGACTTCAATTTAAATGATATGAATAGTTTAATGCAAAACTCCTTGCTTCTGAAAGTGTTGACGACAATTATGAATGTTTTTGTTTTTAATGATTTTGAAGAATTATGCAGTATTATTCAACAAGAAAGCAAAGCAGTTATTGACAAACCTTCATTTATATAATTTTTCATGTATAAATTATTGTCCAGTAGTAGATTACACACTTACTACATTTATACTATTTTGCAGAAAGCTTATTTTAAATATAGGATGAAGAGAATAAAACGCAAGAAGAAGGATGGTATTGACCCCATAAGCACTGCTTTCGATAAAATGAAGGTTTTCATTCTATTCTTAATTTATCTCGTTGTCCTGTCGACATCTGCTATATTAAATTGCCAAAGCCCTCACATTTTCTTTAACTTCAGAGGGTTAAGAATCCTCCCATACGGTTGAAAGACTTTACAAGTGTTGAATCTATGAGAGAAGAAATCAATGAAGTTGTGGCATCTCTGCAGAATCCTCGCGCATTCCAAGAAATGGGAGCTCGTGCACCTAGGGTATGTCATTTTTGAGACATCCTTTGCACGTGACAGACATTCTCTTGGTTAAGGAGTACGTTTAAATGCATTTTTTTTCTTATTTGTGTGGTCAAGCTAAACAAGACATTATCTTGTTTATGGACTATGTTTTATATGCAATCATTTCCTAAAGCTTGCTTAACATTTGTTGTTACTTAGCCATCACAATTTCAGTCTCGATGTTTCACGAAGCTAAGATATCACAGCTTATACCTTTGTCTGAATTGTACTACCATGACATCACAGGGAGTTCTAATCGTTGGCGAGAGAGGGACTGGGAAAACATCCCTAGCATTAGCTATAGCAGCAGAGGCAAAAGTGCCTGTTGTTGAAGTTAAAGCCCAACAGTTGGAAGCTGGTCTCTGGGTGGGCCAAAGTGCATCAAATGTTAGAGAACTGTTTCAGACAGCGAGGGATCTGGTCACTTTCTTTCTGTCTTTCATTTCATTTCAGTTCTAAGTCATGCTGTCCATTCAATGATTATACCCTTAACGTCAATGTTTTATTAAGTGGAAATTAAAA